CGGGCACGAGCGTCAATGACCCACGCTTGGCCTTGATATTACCGAGCCTAGTGTCTCGGGCTAAGGTGCTAGAGTCCCGGGCCCAGCCTCGATGGGCCCAAGCCCAAGTGCCGGGGACCTTTGAGCGCTGGGGTTCCCGTGCCCAAGTATAGAGTTTTTGGTACAAGCGCCGATACTTAATAATATTTTGAAAAATGACTTCCGATTTTTGAAAGAGGAAATCATTTTCCTAAATTTAAGTTTTGGTAGGAAAACTTTTTTTGCTAACTAGGAAAACTTTTTCCGTTGACTCATTTTCCTAAATGATCCAAATGCTAGAAAATGTTTTCCCGAAAAATGTTTTCCCCTAAATAAACGGAGGCTAAATAGATGGTAGACTAAGATCTTAGGCTGCTCAATGTACCAAACGGTCCCGATTGCAAAATGAGATTAGCGGGCGATTACATGGTCCTTCTTGTCGCAGAAAGAGAAAGGTATGAAATGTCCCCCTCATGCAGGCCTGCAAGCTGTGGGGGGGTGTGGTGGGTGTGCACGATGAAACTATTTAGCCTCGTGCTCTCTCTAGCTATCCCTCCCCCACCTCGTCCACATATCGAAAATTCCTTCTGTAAACATTATAGTAAAGTTACACAATTACATCTTCTGTTGTTTAAACTATTCAAAACATGGATCAGTCTTTGAGACAATTATTATGTGATTAATTCATAATTTGTTTGACCTTAAAAAATTAATTTCTTTACGGGGCAAGACAAGCCGTGACATGTTGGTGTGGAGATATGATGAAGCATTGGCTACAATTACAACGCCGGAGTGGCGGCAAGAGGCAAAGGGTTGGCCAGTGGCAACGAGGGATGGGTGGAAGAGAAATTAGGGTTTGAGGTTAGAGAATAGAGTTTTGTGTGGTTCGGGCTTTAGAGCTTATGTGATTTTTATGATGAAGATTAACCTTGTCTTTTTTACTTATGTAAAGTAGTAAATATAGATATAAGATATGCAAAGTAGAGTTGGAGAAAAACATAAGGAGGTATTTTGTTGGTATTTTTCTTGAAAGCTAATTTCACACGGGTAACTGCACAAAACTCGAAACGAATAATTTAGTTATAGCCAATCCTAGGCAAGGATGAAATTATTTATTAAGGGCCTAGAGTAAAAAACGCGTTCAAATTCTACATTCAACATCATGTACAAACAATATTATGAATACAATTCTTATGGTAAAGAGTATTATCTTTGGGGCAAAAAGTTGAGTAAACTTGACCTCACATTATTTTAGGTTGACTATCCATTAAAAACGCGACATGTGGCAATATGTGTCATGTGGCATTCCTCATAGAATGAATTAAAAATAAAAAACACTTTCTGTTTCTACTTTTCATTCCTTGATCCAATCACTTTGTCACAGCTGCCATTGCCATTGCGACCACCACGCTGTCGCCCGTGCCACCACCGAGTCATGATTTTGTTATTTCATCGCCTAAACTAACACATCGACGTCCTCCCATTGCCTAAAACTAACAAGTCAAGAGTATTATGTTTTGGGCAAAAAGTTGGGTAAGCTTCACCTCACCTAATTTTAGATTGACCATCCATTGAAAATGTGACATGTGGCATTCCTCATAAAATGAATTAAAGTAAAAGGCACTGTTTCCCTGTACTTTTCAGTCCTTGATCCAACCACTTTGCGCGGCTACCATTGACATTGCTACCGCCACGTTGTCGCCCGTGACACCACTGAGTCATGATTTTGTTGTTTCATTGCCTAAACTAACACATCGTTGACCTCCCATCCATGACAGAGCCGCTACCTTCTTTGCTCCTCTTTGTATAATCGGCATTGTCGCCTTTATCTGCTCCATCGACGAAGGAGACCTCGTAGATTTGCATCTCTTCCATCGATGGAGGAGGAGACGGATAGATCCGGGTCTTTTTAGTTTGAGTAACAGTCGCATCTTACTCGTCAATGAGTTATTGGAAAGCACCCTTTGATGTTTTGACAATGACAAAACATTCCTAGTGACATAATCTATGTATATGGGCGAGCAAATGAAATACCTTTAAAATATGTAGTATCATAGACAAATGATGTCAACAACGGGACATTTGTATCTATAGAACCTCTTTGCTCTAAAAAGGGGAGAAAAAGCAATTAGACATGGAATGTATCGTATGACTAGATAGACCTTATAAATGGTGAAAAAGTAATTGGACGTGAAATATGTCGATGTTTGAAAGGACTTTGAGAATAGCGAACAAACCAAAGGATGTATGATCATCAAACTTGAACTTGAAAAACTTTTAAAGTTTTTTATGATCCCTCTTACTTGTTTGTACCTAATCCATCATGATTTTTTGGGATATTTCGCCAAATTTAATTAAGGGAAGCTTTGTTGTGGAAGTAAGTTTGAGCAGCACCGGATGAAATATGTGTATATGCTTGTGGACGCGTACTACCCTCCAATGGGTTGGTGGAATGGTAAAGGCTTTGGGCTTATGGGTGACTGATCCCAAGTTCAAGTCCGTCTACTCTCTACCTTATCACACCCGTAATTAACATAGAGGCTAATTTGTGGGTTTGGCTAGTTCTCCCCTGATTAGTGCCTGGCCGGTCGGATTCTTGTAGTGCGGCCGGTGCGAGAGTCCGGGTCATCATAAAAAAAAAAACACTAACACGTACAATGCGAATTCATACAACCACTCGATCTAAAAGCATCATTTGACCAACCTCATACCATACCCCTTATAATGCATGTACTTGTACGTAGTGGGGGACACCTTGTAAATACCTTTTTCTCCTACTCCTTTTCATAATTTATTACCAAATCTTTCGTGCGAAATTGGTTCTCCAAGAGCATGAAGACGCCCACAAAAGGACAATGTTGCGCCACAAAATTTCGGTCGAGCATCTGAAATTCAAATCGAAAGGAGCAGTTGGAAGTTTGTTTGGTACCCCGAGAGACTCAGAAAAATAGGACAATGATGAACCCTGGAGAATTGTACCAACACAGCTGCCCCTCTCCTCTCGAGAGGAAAAGGCTACTGATGCCGATGGGACGCAAAACAATAGGAGGAGGAGGAGATAGCTACGTAGTAACTACTGACTCCAACGATCCATGGAGAACACCCTAACAGGGAGGACCGGACCGCATCTTCTTACTGGAATAAGCACCGAATACGACCCATTTATTTTTAATGTTCATTTACATTTTAAGATGTAACTTAGTATATCAATTTTATAGATCGTTCTTAATATAGTTAGAATTGCTCTCCCATAAGTTGATTTTGTTATAAGAAAACGGCTTATATGAAACATGTTTTCTTTTTTTGTTTTTAAGAGGATCACACTTGATTTGCAATTTTAGTTTTAAATTTTTGAAATCATAACAACTTGGTTTTGCTATCATCGATGGAATAGATAGCAACGAATGTAAAAACTTAAATTATGATTGAGTCACGGCTTGTGTGACTCACTTACAAGGGTGTGGAATAAAGATCCAAATTAGATGAGTGGAGTTAAAGAAGCGATTGATAATATCTAGTTGGATCATAATTTGATGGCTTAAACATTTTAATGAAGATAGGTATGACTTGATGTGCCAATGAGTTCAAGTTTTGGACTCTCTCTTGGATCTCTTAATCGTGAAAGTGTTGGACTTTTCTTATACTTTCCTCAATAGTGGTGTCAGAATCGATGATTGATTGATGGAACTCCTAATCTCCGTCGGTATCTTCACTCAACTACCATGACGGTTCAATTTCATAATAAGAGCATGGGTGAAGACGTGTTTGAATCAGTTGGCGATGGTTGGACATTCGAGTTTCACTTCTATTGTGCAGAAGCGTACCCAGCAAGGGGTGGTGTGCCAATGTTGAAGGCTCACTATGGGAGAGGGGAGGATAGTGAGTCCATGTGAGGGTGTTAGATAAAGATCCCACAGTAGCCTCGCCATGCCCTCGTACAGTGGTTGCCACCCTGTAATGGCCTCAACTTGGCTTTCTAGTGCCTCACGAGCCTTCTGCACAAGGGAAGTAGATGGTGTCGCGGAATCTGCGAGCCCTCCATCAAGCCCAGAAGGTGTCTTCTTGGACGTACCTGCAGGAACATCAAGCATGTTTTCTGCAGAACTGACTGACATAGTATAAGCCACTGTCAAATCACAACGAGGTTGAATCACAGATGAGTATTGCCCCTTCCTCGAAAACTAATCCATTCTTATCGTGGGACGAGTCGCTCACTCCTCAGACACAATGTAAGAATTTTTTTGCCAAGCCTCATTGCAAGGGATGACGCTTCATAATTTAGCCCTAAAACTCCTGTTATGGCCTTGTCATGGAAGGCATCATCGGCGTGACTGCACCCAAATATCATGTAAGGTACAGCAAGCAATCAACCGGACCGTCAGATTCAGCCGTCTCAACTACAAGATTTCCATGTGAAGAAGCAACGTCACCATACTTTAGGTGGTAGAGGCAACGGTTTTTCAGATGGCATTCCTTGCCGGATCCATCACAGTAGTCGGAAAGGCATGATAGATTTGCGCATGAACTGGAGTATGCAATATTTCCAAATTCCTCATCTGCCTCCTTCATATGTATGTTTTTCACTGTTTAGTTTTACCACAAAGTCCATTCTACTTGTGAGAGGGAGTGTTGGAATACTTTAAATATAAAACTCATCGATTAAACTTTTAGAACAATTGAATAAAAATATCATTATTACATCTTCACCTCCCACTATGTTTCTTGAAACGAATCAAGCACGATTACTGATATCAATCGTCATTTTTTAAGTTGGGTGGCGAATGATTTCTGATTGAGATCACTTGATTTAATCTGAAATTCAAAATTTACCGGGTGGAACAATAACTCCAGTGGGATATATTTTGCCATTAAAAGAGCATCTGTCTTTATACTCAGTATGTTTGTGCACGGAGAAATTTAGCACAAAGAAACTAATGCAATGCAATAAAGTCACCGAATTTGTAAAATTTTGAAGGCCAAAAGGCAAATAAATTATACTCTCATGGTTTATTCAAATGTGGTTTTACTCGACAAAAGTAACCAGGTATTGTAGGTACAACACAGACTCACCATAAACCATGTTTTAATCATGTGCAGAACCGCCTTTTATAGGAAAAACATAAATCCACGACGAATCCTATATATGAATGAAATGACTCTGGTTGATGTACGAGCAGGCAAATCTTTGCTACATTCGTACGGTTTTTGTCTCAACCTTTACTTGACCCTAATGAAAGTCATCCAACTCCTAGGGTTCTTATTCTCCAACTGTTGGTGGATGAAGAACCCAAGATGTTTTTCGAGGTCTCTGGTTCGATTTTTGATGTGATGTCGCTTCGAGATCATTCCACTGGGACTGAATGACTTGTGCTCGAGTCTCTGAGAGAATATCCAAAGTGAACTTGATCCGGCGCGTGAAAATTAACATAAAATACCGCCTGCCAAAAGAGAGAGAATGACTGTAAACGCATTCTACACATAGGTGACCTGACCATCTCTGAGAGCAAATGCGTTGCTCTTTGTCCAGAACAAACCTCAGTGTCCATTTTTCTTCCTAGCCGAACGCCTGATAAAACTGTTCTTTCGATCTGAACTCCATTGTCATAGTATCACAGCCAGAGTTTCACCATAGGTGCACATATAACTGCATCTTACAAGACGTAGTAAGATTATGACAATTAAGTGCCATAAGAAGCTAAACGCTCGATGACACAGGCTTTTTAGGCTCTAGTTTGAGAAGAATGTTCGTGTGGGCGTGTAAACGTTTTACCTGAAAAATACTCCCCATTTTGGGATTGCCTAGAAGCTTTAAAAGGAAGAAAAGAAACCCTAATTCAGTCATGGCAGTTGATGAAATTCATACCAGAATCTCTAGAAAGTATAAGCCAACAGGTAATATGTATCTTCATATCATTTAATCAGAGCAAAAATTGGGGAAAAAGGAAGGAAAACTGTCACCGTTTCTGACATCAAAATATGCCCTTGTTCATACTTCTGACTAGTCCCCTCCCCTGTAATTTGGAAGAAATTCAAAGCCCACCAAACCTCAGGAAGAGAAAGAGAGAGAATTAAAATTTGTAATACTGGAGCTGAAGAAAACCTAACCTCGTCTGCGTTCAGCAATTACCAAGCAGCTTCTTGAACTTTTTGTCCCAACAAAAATCAGCTTCTTGAACTGTGGGATATAGTCATGTATTGCTGATGCAGCATCATCAAGATTCTCATCATCAGCGAATTGCGCCAACTGCCAAGAACAAACGATCTACACACGCCAGGCCATGGCGATCGGATCGATGTGAATCTTGGTGATGCTGCATCTGCAAAAAATGACTTTGCGTGCGGCGATTCCTTGTTGCCAGTCGAAATCCCGGCTTTGAGGACCGGAGGAAGGGTAGTCTTTGTTTCAAGACTTAGAACAAGCACAAGCACGTGGGATACGGAACAAACTCTAGATTTGCCAATCTTACATGTATGATATACGACGCAAACTCTCTTTTTTCCCTTTCAAAGATATGACATCTAATACATGGACCATAAGAAAACGAAGTGGCTTGAGCTAGCCTAACCGGAGGCCGGATGCCGCCCCCAAAAGAAAAAAATAAGAAAGAGAGATTATCTTCGATACAGATATTGGAATTAGTAGGATCTAGGATGTGCAAAAGCGGAGAGAATAGATGAAGATAAAGATCTTCGCCTCTGGATCATCAAGATTGGTGTCCTTTTCACCTTCCAATGGAGAAAAGTGGAAAAAGAAGAAGAAGGACGACGAGGAATCTAAGAGAGACAGAGAGCGAGAGGTATGAAGAGATAAAGTAAGGAAGGGTATGGAAGGAGGATTCTTATATAGACAAATACGTCATTGAGTGCTTTTTTTTTAATAGGGCATGTGGGAATGAAACTCTTGGTCGTGGGTCGTGATTCTTTTACGAAGGAACCTACGAAATTCATCTCACTTGCAATTTTTTTGTTTGCTTCCGGTAATTAGGGTCACAGTTCGTGTTTGTACAACTACAGGTGGTTCTCTTTTTATATCTGAATATTCTAACACTCCCTGATGCGTGCTGACCTAAAACTTGAAGCATGTGTATATATAATAGGAGAAGGAAATTGGGGCTTTGAAATACCACGTGAAATTTCGTGGGATAATCATTAACTACTTTAAAAGTTTAAGTTATCATATAAAACAGATGGAGAGCTCACACCGTGTAGGCTGGACTTTGGTTCAAGCATAAAGTGTAAAAATATATAATTGGAGAGGCAATAGGAGCCTAAAAATATTTTAAACCACATGCTTTGATACCATATGAGATTTTATGAGATCACTAATTTTAAAAGCTTGCTTTTAGATGATTGCGTGATTTTAACATTTAAATATTCTAACAAGACCAAAGCTCGATGGACGGCAGTGATTACTGATAGAAAGCGAGTGGTTTCATTCTGGAGGTGACAACATTGGCCTTGCCCTGCGGTGACAACGACGGATGATAATGGGTTAGAACTCCTATGAAGTTTGGGACAGTATATCCGCACCCTACTTTTTTTTTACTTGGCTATTTTTGTAGATACATACGATGAACGATAAAAGAATTATGTAGAACATTAAGATTTAAGAGACATCAAAGAGCACGGTACCGCAATCCGCTTGGGGTCATCACCTAAGATCAAGGCCACTTGGACAGGCCAAAAGATCCAAATTTAATCTCTTCATGAGGTTTGCAGGATGTTTCATAGTTCTCAAGGTTGTCGAGACCTAAAAAAAAATGCTCGGAATGTAAATTGAGATGTGAGAATATTGCTTTCCTAAAGATGAAAAGAAGATTAGCAATTCTAATTGTATTTAATTAGGCCACGACTCCACTATGTAATACTTAAAAAGATGTTACCGAATAAATCAAAGTCTTAATCACACGCTGATAAGATGGCTTCTTTAAAGATAAGAAGATAAGCCTCCCATCCATGGCGTGACCTAAACGTCATTAATTTCCTCCGCCGCCTCAAACCGCCATATCAATCCATCTTAGCCTTCACATTTGGCGGTTGTCAACACACTAATGATTGAAAAAGTATAGACGCACCGAGTTTGGACTTCGCCCTTTTCAATAACAAAATAAATATATACACCTAATTCTCCTTAAATCTGGCATTGTGTAAAGACAGATTTCTTTTCATGTCAATAAATTTTCGAAGAGTTGGCAAGTGTAAAGATGTATTGTGAGAAAAAGTTACTCTCGTCTGATCTCTCCAACAACTTTAACTGTAATTTACCAACGCTTCTATGAAATTACCGAGTCTTTTCGATAATATGCAAGTTATCGACTTTTCTTATCTTTTACCGCTTTTCATTTGTTTTTCTTACCAACACTTTAAATTTATATGTGAACACATCAATCGTTATTTCAGTAACTTACCAAACTTTTTTCAATAAATTACCAGCTAGTTTTGGATTATCTTTTTCTTTTTGGTTGAAAAGTTTTGGATTATACGCTCTCACTTGAGTTGCTCACTAACTTTAAGTTTTTTGTTTTAATTTGTCGACTTTTGTTATCATTTATCAACTTTATCTATTCTTCTTATAAACACCTTAAATTTATCAACTCACATTTACATTAGCAATTTTTATTTGTGTTACTCATAAACTTTTTTCCCATTAGGTTCCCAACTGATTTTAGTTCATTTGAGTTGTTTACCGAGGTTTAATTGCTTTTTTATTCAAATTACCAACCTTTCTATTGGTTAACTTTTATTTGCCTTGATTTACCAACTCTATTTAGAAGTTATCAACCATAGTTTGAGTGATTACCAATTAATTGTATGTTATCAACTATCGTTTGAGTTAGTTACCGATGTTTATTTGGCTTAATTAAGCAATCAACTTCTTTTAATTGTGACAAAAAAACTTATCTCATCTTCTATCAAATTGTATTTACCTTTTTTCCCAACACTTAAGTTTAACAACTATTATATGAAATTACTAACCTTTTTTTTTTTTTTGGTAACCCAGGGAACCCCCGCACGGCCGACAGCCGGGAGGTAAACCCTGGGGGCGACACGTGCTAGCCACCACACACGTGCACCGGTTAAGTCACCCTGCGGCGCCCGGGATTCGAACACTCAACCTTTTACGAGAGGAAGAGTGCCCTTTCCAACAGCGCCACCCAGGCGGGTACTAACCTTTGATTGAGTGACTTACCAACTTTTCTCCAGTCAAGTTACTAACTAGCTAATTTTGGGTCACCAGCTCTTATTAAGGTTACTTACCAATGTACATATATTTGTTTTTTGCATATTCACCAACTTTTCAATTGAGTCACTGTTTTTATTTATCATACTTGCCATCTTTTTAAAAAGGTTCATTTACACCGGCGGTTTAGGCTAGAATTTGTCAACGACTGAGCTGTTTCCTAACAATTTGAAAATATAAAAGCATCCCTTCTTAGTTCTTACCATGTATATATCTGACAAAAATGTGTGTGTGGGTGGGTGTGGGTAAATATTCTGAGGAATATGCAGATTCATAGTTCTTGCCCTGCTGTTTCTCGATCTAACGAAGCCAATAACAAATTATAAAGAGCCAACCGTCCATCAAGTACTTGAGTAAATGATGCCAGCGTACGTGGCTGACACTTGAAAAGTCGGTGCCTTTTCACTTATTTGGCTTGTCCTTTGTCTATAATTCATTTAAATATTTTTTTTATCATGTCAGATCTGGTGATTAGCAGCTATCCAATACCGTGATCAGTTTAATCGAATCTTTTAGGCGTTAATATGGGCTTTCAGTAATGGCTTCAAGCGTCTCTTCTGTCGCGTCTATAATCTAAGGAGGCTTAACTCCCTATATAAAGCCCTGAATTTTTTGTATAGTCTCACTATTATCTCGAACTTTTTTTGTCTAAAAAATTCCAAACTTTAATCTCGAACTTTTTTTGTCTAAAAAATTCCAAACTTTAAGCTCCGTTCATTTAGTGAAAAATAAATGATTTGATAAACATATTTCTAAAAATGATTGCCTATATGGGTTACAAAAATGAATGAACAAAAATATTTTAATGAATTGTTATAGATAATGAAAAAATTTTATTGACTAATTATTTCAAGTGATATAAGTATTTATTTTTAGGAAATGTTTTCCAAATCATATATTTTTTGTAAAATAAACTGAGTTTTTAGGTCCAGTACCAATTCTGCCTTGACTTTTTTTTGTCTAAAAACACCCAAACTCTAGTTTTAGTCCTAAACCTGCCTCGGAATTTTTTTATTTAAAAAAAATCACCAACTTTGACTCTAGTCTTAAATATGGCCTGAACTTTTTTTTATCAAAAAAAATCACAAACTTTCGATCTAGTCTCAAATTTGCCTCCGTTAACTCTCCCTCAAAAATCGTCATTAGTTGTTTGACGTGGCATTTCCATGTCTGTAACAAATCTACATAATCAAGGTGAAAATTATTTCCAAAATGAAACCGTTGTTTGATATAAAAATTAGGGAAATCGGGGACGAGTAACGACGTTGTTTGGACGGAGGGCTAACAAGGGGCATATTTGGGACTAGAATGAAAGTTTGTGATTTTTTTTAAACAAAAAAAAATTTCAGGGTAGATATGGGATTAAACCTAAAGTTGGAGTTTTTTAAACAAAAAACAGTTTGAAATAGAATTAGGACTAAACATAAAATTTTGGATTTTTTAGGGGATTAGACCAATCTTGTGATAGCGTTAGAGAGACTATAAGCAAGGAAGCAACGAGAACTTATTTAATAAACTTAGAATACACAAGAATCGAACTAGGAGACACATATTCATTTGAGTACATATACAACATTCATGTAATAAATTCTCAGAAGCAACCTACTTTAAAAAATCTGAATAATCAGCAAGGCGACCGATTTGTCATGAGAAGGACCAGAGAGAGATGCTATAAAATAATAATAAAAATTTTATATACCTTATTAATTTTTTAATAAAGAATACGTGGGCACATGCAAGTCAAATTCAGATGATCAGGTCTGTTCGATGATCTGCTCACCTTTTGACGCAAAGAATTTCATATTTAAGGCTCCGTTTGTTTCATGACAAATAAATGATTTGAAAAATATTTTTCTAAAAACGATTACATGTATCGCTTAAAAAATAAATGAATAAAATATATTTTCATCGTCAACAAAAATGTTTAGATATTAATGAAAATATATCTCATTGACTAATTATTTTAAGCGACATAAATAATTATTTTTAAGTAAATATTTTTCAAATCATTCAATTTTTGCGAAATAAACGAAGCCTTACACTATTCAGTTGGATTTTTGACTCACATTTTGCTTGATCAACAAAATTAGTGAAAGTATTTATCAGGTAAAGATTTATTTATCTAGATGGGCTATATCGTCACGAAAATATATGTAAGCTAGAGGCACCGTTTGGATCCTTCCGAGGTTTGAACTTTGGCTTTAGTTTGGTGTGGCTTTTGAGGTGAGGCGACTTTTGAAATGTCTCTCCATATCTCTTAAAGTTTGCACCCAAAAAGTTTTCAAAAATCATGTAAATCTGAAGATCTCACTTTAACCACAATAAAGAAGAAGATTACTAAGATTTGTATTAGACTTACAAAAGATAGATTATAAAATTGATTTATAAAGTATGGATAAACGATGCGTGGAAAGTTAAATAAGTGAAATAAAATATGTCCGACCATCTAACCAAATATATATATACCATAACACTTAGATCTGATATATAGACGCCTTTTATGTGATTGCAGGTTTTTATTCTAGCATTCTTTACTTGTGACTTTAACTATAGTGTCACTTAAAATAAATTGTG